GCAATTCGCGTCTCGACAAGTTATTTCATTCCAGGTAACTTAACGATTCTATTTCTTCTTTCGTTCGATTACTGTATTCGATTTTCGTTGATTTTCTTCTTCTCTCGATTTGGGGATTTTTCCACCGTCAAGTGAATTTTCCAACGAAATTTTCAATCTTTCGCTTGATTTCTCTACAAACCCTTTGGATCTGAAACTGGGTCTATTTTTTCCTGCCCAAATACTGATTTTCTCGGTATGGTTTCGTACTTTGAGAAAAATTGGATCGAATTGGCTCGAATGTATCTAATAAGAGATGAATTTTACCTAATCAAGTTGTCCGATGTGTGTTTAGCTTAGTTCGTAATTGGGTTCGATAAGCTCGTTCATAGCTTGAAGATTTGCCCCCTTTTGACTATGTGGTTATGTTTCATGAATCAGTCTCTTTCCCTTTGGCCCTTCTGTGTATCTGTTTGAAAAACCTGCTTTCTGTGTCATTGACCTCTCTCAGTTGAATAATCTTCTTACAGTTTTCTAAAGGTTTTATGCAATTGTAAAGATCATGCTCCATTTGCTGGGGGAATCAATCTTCTTTCTCTTATATGTGTCCTCTTTCTCTAGCTTTGAGTATCAGTTTAATAACCAGGCTCCGTTTGGTTCTGCTTTTGCTAGGTAGGGGGATTTTTTGGTTTTAGAAGATACCAATGGCTGGAGTACTAGCTGGGGAATGTTCGTACAGTGAGAGCGGAGTTTCATCACACTCGAGGAATTCTCATGAAAAGCAAGAAGAGGTTGCCCGCTGGTACTTTGGAAGGAAAGAAATAGAAGAAAATTCACCGTCAAGGTTGGATGGTATTGACTTAAAGAAGGAAACTTACCTCCGCAAATCCTACTGTACATTTTTGCAGGACTTGGGCATGAGATTGAAAGTGTAAGTTCTTTTTTCTCACCTCATCTTAGATTCCTTCTGCTTTTGTACCCGGCTATATTATTTTCCCAGATTGATGCATTTATCATTTAACTGGTTCAAGCTGGCTTGATCTTTCTTGACATGAGAATTCTTCCAACCCGTCCCATCAACATTGTGTGCAGATTATAGTTACCCCTTTACATATAGGTCTCATTTAATTGGAATTTGATTAAATTTGATGTACTGATGATGATTTTAGGCATACCTTTGTACCTACAGAAAGTCGTAAATGTAGTTTTATTTTATGTTTCGTAGTCATGGTTTATGCACTGTTCAAAGCTTTCAATTTTTGGTTTCATTGAAAGTGGCTGATATAGTTTTCCAATCAGTCCCCAGGTTACAATAGCTACCGCGATAATCTTCTGTCATCGATTCTTCTTTCGTCAATCACATGCAAAGAATGACAGAAGGGTGAGTTTATTGTTTTGCACCTGAACAAGTTGAATGCTTAAAAAATATGGACTTTAGTCTGTGTTGTTCATATCACTATGCTGTAGTCTGGCTAGTGTAGAATTCGAGGTATTGAAATGTCGTGGCTCCTTAATATTCTTTGTTATAAATTGGCTCTATTTCCTTGCCATTTTTCTTGGTAATTCACTACTCTATTATCACAGATAGTTTGGCTGTGGCTTTGATATTGGTTTAGCTTTTTTTACTTATTCTGTGCAGAATTAATGTTATGTGATTGTTGGTGCTGATTTAGTCTTCTAGAGCAGAAGAAGATACTTGGATCTTTACTGATCCCTTTCTTCATGTTGCTTTCACAGACAATTGCAACTGTATGTATGTTCCTTGCTGGAAAGGTTGAGGAAACACCACGGCCCTTGAAAGACGTTATTTTTGTCTCCTATGAGATAATAAACAAGAAGGATCCTGGTGCTTCTCAGAAAATCAAGCAAAAGGTATTCATCATACTACATTGCTTCTCAACCTTATCAGATCTCTTGTCTCCCTTTAGCTAGTTATAAATGATATGTACTGTTTTCCACCCATATCATCTGTTTTATTTGACGTTGAGCTTGTACTACAAGTTACAGATCTTCTTTGTTTGGTAGAACCATGGTCCTGCGGTATTGATTTATTTTCTCTTGGTCGTATCAATATGTATTGACATATATCACTTTTGCAGGAAGTATATGAGCAACAAAAAGAGCTTGTACTAAACGGAGAAAAAATTGTACTTTCTACATTAGGCTTTGACCTCAATGTTCACCATCCTTATAAACCCCTTGTAGAAGCAATAAAGAAATTTAAGGTTGCACAGAATGCTCTTGCCCAAGTTGCATGGAATTTTGTTAATGATGGGTATGTTTAAGTGCTATTTCCTTCTAAAGCTAACAATAATTCTATGTGCCTGTATTTTTGTCTTCATACAATGAAAATTGGCTTGCAGTCTGCGGACATCACTCTGCCTGCAGTTTAAGCCTCATCACATCGCGGCTGGTGCAATATTTCTTGCGGCCAAGTTCCTTAAAGTGAAGTTACCATCAGATGGAGAGAAGGTTTGGTGGCAAGAATTTGATGTCACACCCCGACAATTGGAGGGTAAGTACATGATGAAATTGATTTGACAAATTCATGTTTCCATGTTTGACTTGCATTCCCTCATTTTGGAATGATTTCAAGATTAATGGCCTTTTGTATATTTCAGATGTTAGCAACCAAATGCTTGAGCTTTATGAACAAAACCAAAACCGTGTCCCTGTATCTCAAGGAAGCGAAGTCGAAAGTAGTGTAGCTGGAGGGTCAGCTCAGCGGCCGGGATCCAGAAATGCAGCATCAACTGATGAGCATGTTGGTTCTAGGCAAACATCAGTACGTCCAACCCATGAACATTCAAATTCTGATAATCATGGGGGTTCATCAAAAGGCGCTTTGAATCAGAACAATGATAATGGGGGTGGTGAGGCAGCTAATATTAGTGTCGATCACAAAGAGGAGACAGAGAGAGAAACAAAAGAAAGTCAACATCCAGAAAATCATCCAGCTCATAAGGACAATGTGAGGGAAGCCCCGCATAACTCTAGACCTGTAGTTGAGGGGCCTGAGAAGGACAATTCAGAAAGAGAGGGTGGAGAGCTTCAAGATGATGGCGCTGTTCATAAAGCTAGAAATCTTGATACGGGTGATGTCCCAATCAGCCAATCTCCAAAAGACTTGAAATTGCTCCGAGATAAGGTGAAGGCTAAACGAGAGAAGGCTAAGAAGTTGCTAGGTGAAAGGACGAGGAAAAAGGATTTGATGGATGAGGATGATTTGATTGAAAGAGAATTGGAAGATGTGGAACTAGCTGTTGATGATGAAGAGACGAAGCAAAGAAAAGTACAGAGCAGGCCAAAGGTCGACAACTCTGATCTCATGGGTAAAGAACATGGTGAGATTCTAGATGTTAAAGGGGAAGTAAAAAATACAGAGGATGGCGAAATGGTAAGCGATGTGTCTGCGATGATGCACAGCCGAAAGAGAAAAATGGGAAGCCCTCCTGAAAAGCAGTCAGAAGGAAAGAGACGCCACAGTTCTGAGAATGGTGAAGAAGGCCACAAGACAAGCAGAGGTAATAGTCATGGTGATAGAGAGCACAGAAGACACTCACAAGAGAATAACCATTCATGAGAGGTAATGATTATTAAAACTGCTACTCTCTATTTCATCTAATGGTCTTTTTTAAGACCTTTGGCACTTTGATGCCCAACCATGTGAACTTGACTTCTACATGGGTCGGTTCAGTCGTTGGAACCATGCTCAGTGTATTTTATGTTGATTATATATATATCTATTTGTGGCATTTTTGCACAATCCAACGGCTTGAACGAGGACTCATCATCCTTAAAGGATGTTGAGAAGCTTAATTAGGTTTACCTTACAAAATACTTCATGCTAGGGAAGTTGAAGTATGCATTATCACTTTCCAATAACCTTTTTTCATGCTAGGGAAGTTAAAGTACTATGCATTATCTAAACCGGGCAACAGTTTGATTCTGCTAGGTAACTTAATACTTTCGTTTGCTTCCATTTCCTTACATTAAGCTCGTTGGGAAAAAGTTTCATCTACTATGGTAAGATGAGAGTTTGGTCATTGCCTGAGAAACTGAGAATAGGAAGTATAGATTGTGGTTAAGTCCACAATCACTTCTTCCTGTAGTAAATTGCTCAACTGAGTTTACATTCTTGATGGCTTCTCTAAGAATTTCGTTTACAATGTTAGAATTCTAAGTTATAATGGCGATGTAAAAGAGAAACCTTTGTGTTGTTGTCAAAAAGAAAAATGAGAAACCTTTGTACGGTCTGGAAGTGGATTATGTACTATCAGATTTTGCTTCTTAGTTCTTATGTATTTGCTTCTGATACTACTACTCGATAAGTTCCATTTAATTCAAAAAGAAGGATAAAAGCGGTTACAATAATGTGGAAACGTGAAGAAACATAATGCGATTAAACAATCAAAAAGGAGAAGACGATAAGAAATCATCACCACAAAAAAGTAGAAATCTTTACTTTATGGATTGGAAATTTGACTGTAGCTTCAGTGTGGGGGAAAAGTCATAAAAATCTGTGCTTTATTCTAAGCTAAAAGAGAGATTTTTTGCGTTTTGGTATGAACGTAGCAATGGAAATCGCTTCTTGTTCGATTCTTAACAATCTTCAACATTCGTGTACAAAGACATCTCTTTTCACTCGATATTTGAGCCAGCGATCATCACACGACACTG